CCCCCGGGGCCGCCGCTGCACACAGAGCCGCGTTTGTTTGGCCCGGGAGCGGTGTCCCTGGTTACATAATTCGCGGAATGGCATCAGACCCGGCGTGTTTCCGAATCGCGCATCGAAAAAGTGCGAGTTCTCTGTGGGCAGCACCTCAGCCCCCGCCTTCCTGAGGGTCAGGAGGAGACGCAGGGGCCCCGCGGCCCTCTCGGGAGGTTTGGAGCCCCGGAGCAGTGAGACCCTGCCTCCCATGGGGCCGGGGTAAAAGATGGGTCAGGGAGTGGAATCGGTTAGTTTGGACTCTGGGGGCTCCGAAACTCCTTCCCTTCCCCCACGTTCTTATGACCTAGAGGAATGTGTCCAAAATAGCGGGTAGAATTTCCTGCGAGTGAGGACTAGCCTGGGTTTTTTTTTTTTTTTTTTTTCTGGCGAACTCCCAGGACATGGGTCCTGGGGTGGGGGAGAGAGCACACTTCTGGGGCCAGATCTGTTCCAGCCCTTCTGGGTCCCCCTCCAAAAGGTGTCGAGGGCCCATGAGGCCTAGAGCCTGATGGGCAGCCAGCTGCAGGGTCTCCGTGTCGTCCCCCCCCCCCGCATGCCCCAACACCCACCATTTGACAGTCAGTAGGTCACTTATTCCTGGGGTTCACGTTCCCAAAGAACTCCCCCAACTTGCCTAGGGGCAAAACACCTAGGGTAGTGTGTCAGCCTCTGTGGAATTCCCTCAGTGGTATGGGGATGGATAGTGTGCGTTCCTGACTCCCCTGCCCCGAGGGGCGGAGCTGTGCCTCCCCATAAGGCCTCCCCGACCTCCAGCAGCAGCGCTGACCAGCCTGTGTGACCCAGGCAGCAACTTAGCTGTCTCCTCTGGCTGTTCACCTGTGCTGAGAGCTGGAAAAGGAGTCTGCGTGTGTTTCTAACTCACTGCTGGACTCTTCCCACTCTTTCCCAACCTCCTCCTGGAAAAGGATCCTCGGAGCTAGCCAGTGGTGAAGACATCTGCCTGTACAAGGAAACACGAGGGGGCAGTGGTAGTGGTGGTGAGAAGCCAGCAAGAGCAACCCTGTGCTTCCGCCTACAACGTCTTCTACTGCAGGAGCTCCAGATGTGGCTTGGGTAGTAGGGCCCACTCCGGTAGGAAGGAGAGCTGAACTGTGAAGTGGCCATTGACAGGTCAGAACTGGAAGTTTCATCCACCAGGGCTAATGGCAGGCAGTGGCAGAGTAGATAACAGCAGAAAGTCGGGCACTGGCTTCTTGTCAGTGTCAAGTTGCTTGTGTTAGTTGAATTTTCTTAGGGTTAACATTTTCATTTTCTTTCTTTGTGCTTGGTTTGTCCTTCAAAATTATCCCTGGAGAATCTGAATTCTCAAATAGCAGACACTAGACTGGGTCTCTCCCTATCCTCCCTCCTAATTCAGTTCCATTCCAAAGAAGATATACTTTCCTGTGCTGCTTGGGCACCCAGCAACCACAACTCCAACTTTGAGTGCCACATCATTACAAACAGAACCTGCATCTTCAAACAAAAACCAAAAGGAAGGGAGGTAGCAAATGTTTTAATTAGCTCCTCCAGGAGTTCTGTCTCTCCTCACCCTCTCCACCTCATCCTATCTCCAAGCTCTGCCTACCTTTACAAAAGAAAAGGCAGACAAATGTAAGGCAATTTATTAATAAGTTTCTGGAAAGAATTGTTTCTAGCTTGGGTGGCTTTTTAGTGAGATTGTTTTCAATTGCAGGGTTTTTTTTTTGTTGTTTTTTTTTTTTTTTTT